CGGAGTACCCCATATGATTTGGTGTGGATGTTTGACCGAACGACTTCAGCTAGGATGTGTCCAGTAAAACTAACGAGGGCAGCATTTATATTAAAGACTTACAAGACCACTTATTTTTGTGATTTCTTTACCGCTACAGGTCAATATCTACTATTGAGGTATCGGCGACACCAGAAGTCTAAACGTAATGAGCTTGTCGTTGGTAAACGCTTTTCTGATATTCTGCCGTGTCCAGAAGCATATGGTTGTTTTTCGGCGATGCAAGGAGCCATGCAGTAAGATATAACAACTAGATACTTCCAATGAAAAGTTCGATTCATCCTATCGCTCACCGGGTTTTTATCTTTCCCATTCATCTTGGAAAAGGAAAAAACGAAAGTGTACGTGGATGTCAAAATGCAAGGAAACAAAATGTGCGTTAAAACTCAGCATACACGAGCATGTGTACCAAGCGATAGCATGAACAACTTACACACAGAAAGTATTTTTGTTTTTTACTTATATATAACCATAATTTAAACACATAACGTTGCGTCTAAGTTTTGATCTTGTCCGTTATTGGGGCACAATCAATTGATCTACTAGTAACTTACGACCCCAAAAAAACAATATATTCAAATTTCAATTCAGTTACAAAAATTTATCCACAAATTACAAGTTATCAACCCATATATATGTCGTTATAATAATGAGCATAACAATTACAAAACAACTCTTCAGTTTTTAGATTTCAAGACCAAAAGCTTCCAAAATATCAAACCGAAAACTGAGTCTAACCAAAATGTTCAAGGTCAAAGATATTAGCAAATGAGATCAGACGTTAAATAAAACAAATACACGCGAAACACAGTGAGATTATAAATATTAAATATAAAAGTTTTTAATCGAACAAATATCTTCAGTCTCGCAAACTATAAGCATATTAGATAAAGGCTTCCTTTCTTGACACGATGATACGTAAAAGAACTCCGGACGAAACGAAAATCATATGCTTTAAAAGCCCTATCGTCACTCTGGAGTTCGTTGCTTTTTAGACGGTTTGCATTTTCTAGCGAAGTTTTGCCGTGGTCGTCAATTATCGGGAATGTTGCCGTTCGATTTTTCACGGGAAAAATAAACGTAATAAAAGTTTCCTTCCAAATAGGCGGCTTTAAAACTGTCAGTGCTGGGGTTGTCGTCAGTTTGTTCCAATGGCGGTAGAGTAATTATCATTTCGAAGGTGGACTTCGAAGTGTTCTTCGTGTGCCGTTTCAATGAATCGCGACGTACCAAAACGTCAAAACGAGCGTTGTGTGTTCCCTACCAGTATCCTTCTGTTTTATTCGTAGTTTCTGGGTTCCTAAAGACAACTTTTGCTGAAGGTCAGTGTTTTCCTCCAAAAAAATGGGCAAGTTTAGGACTGCTGATGCACTGGGTGCTGTTCAAGGCAGTTATAAGAAACAGTACGTCTGTAACTGCGCAACCTGCTCCAAAAATGTGTTGTATATCTGAAGTTGATGAGCCTTCTAACTGAGCGTTTGATCCGATTGTTTAAGCTCTTCGAATATCCCCAAGCTAACTCTGCACAACTAATTGAGCGTGATGGGAAAGGGGCGAAATACAGAAAAAAAGCCTTACCACAAGGTGTGTTTATCTACAGTGAATTGAGGGTACTTACGGCATTTTCGATGATTTCGGGCTTCTGGAATGTTCTGAAACCCTACCAAGTACAGCAGCAGGATGGGCAATCATTCAGTCAGAATTATGACACACGACCCTTTGCTTTCTAGATATCTCCAAGAGATTTCTATTCAATGCTGATCGGATAAAATGCTTCATAGAATTTCAAAGGTCTCTTCCATCTTTTTCGATGAATGTTATGGGTCTTCTCAACAGAAAAAAATATGGGATGTGACGTAGCTGTAGAGACTCTTGACTGAAGTGCTTGTCCAAAGACGAGCTTAGAGAGAAGGTAAGGGTTTTAAGGTCAGTAAACACAGTTTACCTTCGACCTGCTAAAGTCTCATACGACACAATACATGGCTAGAACTCTCTTGACGAGCGTTTCTCGCAATTCTCTTGAGAATAATGATCAAGCTTGTTAGGTGTTGGTTACCAATCGTAGCAGTAATCCACCAGTTACCTAGTTGGATGCATCTATGGAGATACTAATTAGGTTCTTTGATGTCATAGTGTGTGAGCAAAGTTGCTTGCGTGATAGTTTCTTTAATTGTGGAGCGTGCTGTCGTTCAACCGTGCGTATCTGTTTGGCTTCGGTCGGCTCCCGGTAAGTCATATTGGCTGCCGCTTCACTTTGCAGTAGGAGAATACCTAAAGCGTCAATAGTTTGCCCGAGAAAATCGAGGGGTTTAGCTCCGACTTGATATTTCTAAATGTCTACCCAAACGCCATGCTTTTGAAGTCGTTTGAAAACAATGGCCAGGTGCAGAGGATGAGATTCTCTGCCACGACCTACTATCAAAAAGCCACGAACATATGTGCGCACAAATTTAGGTTCCATGAATAAGTCATCGACGAATTTCTGAAAAGTTTGGAAACGTCATCTGTAGCTGAAGATATTTGGATTCACGGTTGAATCAAACCCATTCTTGAGAAAACAATCGTACTTTTTAAGGTAGCTATCAGGTTGTGGATGTGTGGCAAGGGGTGAAGTTCGGGAGCGGTTTGAGCATCAGTTCTCTAATAATCACTAGTTGGGCAACAAGTATGTACTTTTAAGAGACCATATGCTAGTGAGATGCTCATGGGCTGTTTGATGTGAGATGCGTTTCACGTCCATCATACACATGAACTCATACTCGACTAATCTTGACCTTTTGGGATCTAGTTTAAGAGCTGTTCAATCTTTAGTAGTAAGGATCGAAGGTCTATCGATTTATAATAATCCTTGCAGTTTGTAGCACTGTGGAGGATCGATCTCGTTCTAAATATATCAATAGAGGGTGCTGATATTATGTGTTTTGGTAGGGAATTCCAGTAATTCACTAATCGGTGCAAGAAACAAAACTCCAGACGTCAACGATATGACCTCGGTTTTTAAACTTTCTTAGAATGTCCTCTCAAATGATCAGTCCTAGACGGAAGGGAAAGACAAGACATAATAATACCAAGGTCATATTTTGTTATATAATAAGCCAATATTCGATCACCTCGTAATCTACGGTAAGATAATGGGAATAAGTTGTTGTATCAGTTTGTCTTGATCAGATAGGCCAGAGAGACCTACCGTTTTTATCCTTCGTCATTGGACTCGTTCTATCATATCCGCCTCGTACTTAAAACAAGGACCCGTTGCTCGAATCCCATATTTCAAATGCGGTCTCACGAAAGTCGGGTATTATAATCTCAACATTTTTTAGTCCAAATACTGAAATTTTATTTATTTATTTTTCAACACATAAATGTTGGTACAAAAAAGCAACAAATACGTGTGCGCCATATGTCACTTGATTTGTGAGTAGGCTGTGATATTGCACGGGTGTCCAGACCGAAGCATGTGGTGTTTTTAGGGTGCCACACCCGGAGCGTTTGATATCGATGTCCAATGCCCTTCTACATTATTTATAGCAGCCATCCGAATAATCTCTCCATTAGTTTGACAGCTACACTGGTTAGACTAACGGGTCGATAGTTATTGAGTCTCTGTTCCCCGCTCTATACATCAGACTAATCATTGGGTCCTTCCTGTCTCTTGGCATTCTAGACTGCCTCAGAGGCATAATAAACAGCAAATTACCCACAATAATATTCGATGAAATTAAATTGTTATCAGCTACGCCAGAGTGGAGTTCTGTCTTACTATCAGACTTTGGTAGTGTGTTTTATGACTCAGAATGGGAGTTCATCAATCACTTGCCAACCAAGTGGTTGCATCTTATAGCTTTTTTACTTTCATTCCATCATCTTTCTTCTTACAGGTCAAAGATAATATGCTCATAGCCTCCTGGATTAGTAATGTTTTGTTCGTACAGCAAAATATACAAAGTCAATGCGAGTTGGGCTTCGAGCATCTTTTGTATGCGGTGGGACTTAAGCGGGTACACATCTTATGAAACCACTTATTACATTCATCGCATTGCATTCCTTCCTCCATGGGGAATAAACAATTCAGCTGTCCACACTTATAAGTACTGCCGACTACTGTAATCAGATTAATGTTTAAAACACATTATGAACGCGTGTCAGAGTCCATGAGAAAGAAAGTACTACAAGACAAAGTTTAGCAAAATTTCAAACCTTAACGGAAATACTTCAATTTAAAGTAGACCAAGAGTGCTTTTTGATACGACAAGCACACAAGAGCAAAGATAATCACAACAAGTACAAAATCATCGACTTTTTTAAATCCACGTTTCAGGTGATCCTTTAGTCGTGATATTGTGTGTGGCATAGCTACTATCACACGGCAGCTTTGCTCGTGTGTTTTTAAGTTCATGGTAGTTGTTGAGCATCCGTTTAAGGTGTAGATCTAGTTTCTGCCTAACCTTGACTTAACATAAGCTAAAACAAGAAAATAAAGTTCCTAATACTTTCATTTGTTTGAGTGGATCATTAGATTATGGTGTTGTATCAGGTTTATACCAATGATCAGCGAAAGAACGTATGCCGTAAAGAAAATCTGGTGAATTGGTTTGTGGAAACCCACGACAAGTTGAACATATGTCTTATCGAAGGTGACGGTCAGGTTTCCGTCTACCGTCTATAAGATGAAAACTTATTCGTGTAAACCGTCCCTAGTATTCGTGGGACGAACGTTTATTCCTGCTCGTGTTGACGAGATGACAGTCTGTCGTCATCACATCAGTTATGTATGATAGATGGCCACTTTTGAAGGTTACGGTTGTCGTTGATGCATGAGACAGGGAAGTTTTCTGAAAAGTTTATGGTGGCAGAATTTTTAAGGTTAAAAAAATCTATGAGATATTACTAAATACCTAAGACCTTACCAAAATAACAAGAGGCAAGAGCAAACAAATCAATCAGTTTATGCAAGCTTGTGACAAATATATTGGTTATTAGATATAGTGGACAAAGTTTTTCACAAAGAGACCTTCATTAAATTGGCGCCTATTCAGTAAGCAAGGTCGAAAATAACTTGAAGTATTGTGGTTAGTGTTAAGTTATTTGTTTGATGTAGAAAACCTGTTTTTACGTTTGTTTGATGTGTTCGCATGAAAGAAAATACCTGAGAGGTTCATATTGGTGCCTGTCGTCCTGAACACGTACTCAAGTTTTAATTTATCAATATATGTAAGTTGTGATTACAAGGAAGTAGGTTGATAGATAAAAGTTCGCTTCAAATCAAGGATAAAAAACTAGGCTCTTATAAATTACAGTCAGATTCACAAAGTTTTCCAGTGCGCTTATCTTAGTGTATACAGTTTGCCTCGATTGAGAGTTCGAACTCAAACAAAATACAACATACAGGGATAACAAATTTAGTTACAACGTACAAATATCACTATCAATATGTAAAATTAATCCACTGGGCCGTGTGCCTTCTTGTTTTTAGCATTTCTCGGCCTGGGCATATATTGCTTGCTTTAGGACCCCTTGAATAATGACATCCCAGCACAAATACTCTCGTAAATGCAATGTCTAATAGGATATGTGTAATAATGGCACATTTTTGTGTGATCTATTTGGTTTTGCCGTTTAAACGTTTCGGCGAGGTGTAGATGAAGTCGAGTTTTAGTCGGATTATATCTGGGTTTAGTAGAAGAGTGGTTTTTGACCGTCTTTTGGGACGGCTGCCCATAGCCGTTTTCTAAACGAACGATTTACAGACTACTCAGAAATTGAGTCTTATGAATGAACCTGTCAATCACTCGTTGTTTGCTTGTTCATATAATCCATCACCTACGAATTGTAATTAATATAGTGTATATGCTTAGTAGCTCTCTGCTTTTATATGACAGTTTGCAAACAAATAGTCACCAACCAGAGTTGTAAGCAGAGACTTAATTATTACATTATTCATCATTCCGCCTTGCGTTTCACATTTATACTAATGCAAACGTAACTTGCTTAGTTCTAATTTATTGCAGTTGTGATGTCAGTACTGTCTTATATTGTGCCGGTCTACAAAACATTCTTTACTCATCCCATAAAAAATCCAATGTCAAGGCGTTAAATGAGTCAGAATGTTTGGTTGTTGATCCGTATCCCTCACGTAAATTGCAGCCTTTCATCTATGTGTACTTTAACAGGATGGTGGTGTTTTCTTTTTATCGTTTTCCAAGCCTATATTTTATGTTGTTTATTCTTTTTTAGAACATATGACTCTAGATGAACGCTTCCAAAAGCTTGGAACCCTTCTCAAAGGTTTCAAAATCACTGATTCATCATTGTTGTCTTATGGTACTGCCGGGTTTCGTCTTCCCGCTGATAAATTAGGCGGTGTAGCGATTCGATTAGGAATATTGGCATGCATCAGATCATTAAACTTGGTACTGATGCAATTTTTAACTAATCTGTTTAGCAATGTAGGGCAGTGGGTATAATGATAACTGCTTCTCACAACCCACCATGCGACAACGGAATGAAGCTAGTTGATCCTCATGGAGGTATGTTGGATGCTGAATGGGAACCAGTTGTAGTCAGTTTTATGAGTTCTAGCGATGAATCTGTCTCTAAATGGCTGTCGGAACATTGCTGCAATTTCCAAGGTATGATCTGTTTTATAGGTTAGCTTTGCTGATTACAATCTAGCTTCTCATCGTAACAACCTGTTTTATGTAATCTCTTCATTCACAAATGTAGTGTAAAGCAAATTAGAGATTGTAACACATTTGTATTTTTACGGAATACTTGTTGGTTAGGAGGAACTATTAGTGTCACAATTAATATTTAGTAAACTACTGATAATTGTTGTAATTCAGTGAATAAATTCGAGGCCTTACGTTTTTCTGTAAGTCCTATTTATTGTGAGCTGAACATTATAATTATCTTGTCAATCTGTCCCGCGATTCCTCATCTTTCCTCTTGGATCACACGGTTCATGACTTCATAAACAAATAGCGTTGGTTCAGCCCTTCACCCCTAGTTTCGTTCAGAGTATTTGTATCCTAACCAACTATCATTTATATGAAAAATGTGATGAAACCTAAGATAAGACTCGTTACCGTTCTGGCTTCACAAAAGACTACTAAGTCAGTCAGTCAGCTACAACGTAGGACGAGGCACATATATGCATCGGTCCAAGTTGTTACACCTCATTAGCACAACAAGATGAACACGAAATTCATAAAAGTAGTTACTTCAGTGGTAGTAATATATAAAAGAAAGATTCTTTATAAGAATATAATACAGGGAGAAAGAACTAGTTGGTAAAAAGAAAAATATAAAACAATTTTAATCTCACGGTTTAAGGGAAGACAGAGAGTGTATACACCTACGCCATTGTGATCGATTCTGAGCCATGTCACCCAGAGTCTCCAACCATTGGTTATGATGATCACGCGGACCCAAACGAAGTAGTTTGCATCTACCAACATGGTTTAGATCAGGAGTTATTGACTTCAAGGACTGACGCCACGTCTCGGTTTGGTCGTTCCTAACTTTCTTCCAACCATCCCCAACACTAGCCAGCTTTGCGCGTCGTGGTAATTGGTGTTCAGGCATACGTAACACAACCCAAACATCCCAGTCGATGTAGTAGCTTACGAGTATCCTCCACTCTTAATGGCCATGTTTCGCAGTCGTAAAGTAGACCAGAACGAACCACTGCGCAGTATACTCGTCCCTTAATTGATAGAGAGATATCTCGCCTTTTCCATAGGTGACGTAAGTTGACAAAAACCAAACGAGCTTTTTGAGTCCATGCAGAGATTTCGTCAGCCACCAACCCATTGTTGCTGATCAAACTTTCAATATACGTGAAGTTGTCGATGCGTTCAACTACTTCACTCCCACTTAAGTTTGATTACCTTAATACTTCAATAAAATGAACCATTTGAAAAGCTTTGTCAATCGTGGGACCAACTGGTACTACTTACATAATATTAGTCCAATTTTCACATTTCAATAGTGGCTATTTTTTCTGTAGTATTCTCAAGCAAATGAAAGTAAATCTTTTCCAAAAAGCTTGTTCTGTTCCGCTCTTATCAAGTTAATCCTTAGTTTGCTGATAAAGTTTGATGTTCCTTCATGAACTTATTCAGTATCCATTCCATCGTGTGTGTGTGCGACTCAGGATAAAAAATTATTACTTAAATTCACAGATATCCAAGTAAGTGCTGTGAGGCTTTTTGTACTTAAAACCAGCGTTCGAAAGATAATTGACTAGTCCTACATAGTATTAAACTCGCATATCGGGTTTCTCTTTTGTTTGCCGCCAAAATACTACCCTTATGTGCTTCCACAGTGAGTTCATATACAGACTGATTACTTGGTTATTCCTAGTGATTTAGTATATTTGCATATTTAAAATAATATTTTTATCTACCTCTTTTCCAAATATATGAGTATTCCCCATGTGACATAATTTTTTTTAGCGTTTCGTCCTGTCTTTCAGATGATCAACTACCCCATGTTGTTTTGGGCTTCGACACTCGTGAAAGTTCTCCAGCTTTAGCAAATGAAGTTAATCAAGGTGTTAGTGTTATGCATGGCATCTGCCATGAACTTGGACTGGTGACCACTCCGCAACTTCACTATTTTGTTCAATATATTGTAAGTTATTGGGATTGGCCAACTCATTTTTAAAGACAATTTAAAAATTTCCACAAAATCGGTTTTTTTGGTTTAGGCGTTCTTTAGAGTCGTACATTTCTACTTTCTTTATTATTAGAATAACTTACCAGTTTATTATACAGAATATGTCATTGTTAAGTCACTAGTGTAGTGTTTGAGAATAGAATTTGAACTATTAGGAATAATGAAGTTGCTTGCCTTGACTATCGCATAATACCGACGTTGGGTGACTTTTAAAATGGCTTAGTGATAACACAAACAGTTTTAATTGTTCATTTATGGTTGTAAGTGTAATAAAACTTTGATATTTACAGGACTTTTATATAACTTATTAAGCCACCAAGGTTTGTGTATTTGTTATCTTGTACATTACTAATAACGTGATCTTTTTGCAAGCTAACTTAGAAAGGAAAAAAATGAACCGGCAGTTATTGGTTTCCTTTGTCAAAACAAGTTTCATCAGAATGAATGAATACTTCGCATATGTTTATTTTCATACAAAATCATTCTACTCCATAATGTCGTTATTGACTTGGTCACCACTCAGAAATAGTCTTAAATACTCAGTGAAAAAATCTACAAAACGGTTGATTCGGTAGTATATTATAATTTAACTAGTTACACGATGCAATATCGTGTAAAGTGATAAAATCAGTAGACGTGTAAAGCAAAATTAATAGTGATAGCTGACTATTTTTATGATCGACATAAAGAAGATGAAGAAACTAGAGTTAGTCAGTCAGTTAGTCAGCTACAACGTGGGACGAGGCACATATATGCATCGGTCCAAGTTGCTACACCTCATTAGCACAACAAGATGAACACGAAATTCATAAAAGTAGTTACTTCAGTGGTAGTAATATATAAAAGAAAGATTCTTTATAAGAATATAATACAGGGAGAAAGAACTAGTTGGTAAAAAGAAAAATATAAAACAATTTTAATCTCACGGTTTAAGGGAAGACAGAGTGTATACACCTACGCCATTGTGATCGATTCTGAGCCATGTCACCCAGAGTCTCCAACCATTGGTTATGATGATCACGCGGACCCAAACGAAGTAGTTTGCATCTACCAACATGGTTTAGATCAGAAGTTAGTGATTTCAAGGACAGAAACTGGAAGATAATAATTGCCATTGATTAGCTAAACAAATGGGATGGATAAGTTTGGAATTTTAGTAAAATATGATATCCAATGTGTTGCTCTCAGATAAGAAGTTCAAGCTCAAGCTAGTTATACCTTCAAGTCTGTTGACAGAATTATACGCTTTTCATGATACTCAGGCCAGGCAATACCTGATATTTATCTTCCCCCATTAGGAAATCTGAAGGAGGTCAGATAATCAATCAAAGCGTACTCAAGATTATTAACTAATTGATTGCTCACTCTCTGTGATGATTTGGAGTCTGTAAGCTTCAGAATGCTTTGATACGAAAATGAGCGACACGGTTTATGACGGTGCACATTCAAATTTTCGCATTCAGTCTATGCAATTAGAAACTTACATTAAAAAACAAGCAAATTCAATCTCATGAAAGTTGATATCGTTAACCGATTTGGAAAAATAAAAAGTAGCACAAAGGCCATACATTTTGTTATGTGATCGTTCGAGTTTGTAAAAGTTATATGAGACATGACAGATGAATAATGTAGAGTCTTTTTTTCTTCCTTTGCGCTATGTTCCCCGTTTTTGTGGTGTTTTTAGTGAAAGTTTGTATTTTCATGTGGAATTTTTAGTTAAATGGACCGAAGCTCTAAACTAGACATAAGATTAGTTAATATTTTAAATTAGATAGGTTTCGGTGTTATTTCTATGTTATATCACACCGTACTATTTTCATATTCTTTATGAAATTACAGAATTCAATTGGTAGCCCATGTTCCAACCAACTTGTTGATCTAGAAACTATTTACGTTCATCATTTTGCTGAACGTTTCACCACCGCGTTAGAAAATTTACAAAGTTGTACTGAATCAATACATTTAAATATAGATTGTGCACATGGTGTTGGTTCTAAAGTTTTAGAACGTTTTCGTGCATATTTTTCATCTGTCAAAGGTCCACGTAGATTAATATTACACTTATATAATACAGAGACAGAGAACAAAGAGTTACTTAATCAAAATTGTGGAGCTGATTTTGTTAAAGTAAGCTATTTGTATGTTGTTTTTTGTTTTTACGAACAATATTTAGCAAAAACCACATCTGCATATTGTGTAACAAACCACATTAAATCAGGGGTTAAATAAAGTGAAAATTCGATTTTCCACCTCACAATATGCATGATTTAGATGCCGAAAAATAGATTCATTTTGGTCACAATTTGATGGGAGTCTCATTTGATTAAAAGCCAGATGTTTTGGCTTTTAACTATGTCCACATAGCAACATACAGAAACGGTGTAAACCAAGTAGGAAACTAGTGTCTCTATAACTGAGTACATTTAGTTTTATTCGTTCTAGCGAATCCCCTCTCTAAAAACTATCCTCATGTGATAATTTAATTTGTAGAACTTCTCCATATTTCATTTGTTTGGGCTATAATTTTAAACTCTTATAAATACCAGGCCGTTGGTCACACTTCCATCAAAGCTATTCATACTTATTGTCATCTGAATACATAAACACTAAGTTAAAATTTTGGAAAGTTTAATTTGAAGGTTCTGTAGAATTTCTTTCAGTTACTCTACAAACATATTTGGTTTTACATTCACACTAATTGTTTGTAGGTCAACACGTATAATGGCTACACACGCGTATATACATCTTCTTGCTACTGAGAGCTAGAGGAATCTAATTAGTTAAAGTATTTCGGTTGTATTTGATAATGAAATAAAAACAATCGGTAACTGGACTTGTTTTATTCCTTACGATTTAATTGTTAATTAAATGTTTTCTCAACATTTGAATAGTCTCCATATAAAATGCTGAGTTTTTAACTTGTAAATTGACACGTATCTCAATATACCAACTGTCAGTCATATGTGTATTTTGGTCGAACTGAATTTCATATTCAAAACCTTGTATTTACATGTGCAGTATGAAACTAGTCGTTTTTAATTTTATTGAAAAGTGTAGAAATAATGAGAAGTCAATTAATATCTTTCTAATTGAGGATGAGTTGATAGTTTTTTACTTCTAAATATTTATTACTATTGTGTTTAATGGTGAAGTGTGTTGAGGAATATGTTAAATATATATAATTTCTCGTGTTACCAATAGCCGTATTTCTTTATATGTGTATTTATAATCTCGTGATATTGAGTGATACTCGCTTAAATCTCTTAGGAAGCATAAATTCCCTCAAGATTATAAATCTGTCTTGCTGACGAGACTATCAAATGACATAAAATCTATATTCATAGCTACTGGTCAATTACTTTTCAACCACCTAACATATTTTTCTGTGTTTACAAGCCTAACTTTTCCAGATATTAAGTTCTTTGAATTTTTACTGATATATACGAAACGTTAATAAATTGTTTTCGCTCTTCACTTCACTGAAGTTGTGAACAGCAACCATTGTTCATATTTTCAAATAGCTGTTTTACCTTTTTTCTTAGTTATATCTGTGCTGCGTTCTCCTATTTGTTTAACAGATAACACTAAATGCACCAAAGTTAACCCCACCGAATGAACAGTCTATCATGTATCCAGATCGATGGGCAACAATCGATGGAGATGCTGATAGATTAATCTATTTTCGACCAATTTTTACACATTGTTCATCATCTTCAGATAATAGGTTAAATAATGACATGAAAGAATTACATCTAACTGGGGCTGTAGCTCAACAAGTTGAACTTCTGGATGGTGATCGTATATCATGTCTTTTTGCTCATTTTCTTGTTAAAGTTCTCAAGTCAGTATCTTCCGATCGTAATTTAACTATCGGAGTCATACAGACAGCTTATGCAAATTCTGCGTCTACACGTTATTTAACTGAACATCTTCATGTATCAGTAGTTTGTGTTCCAACTGGAGTAAAACATTTGCATCATGCAGCGCAAAGTTTTGATTTTGGGATTTATTTTGAGGTAATAAATTTATGTATTATTTATACCTTTAATTTCGATCTGGTATAGCAATAACTGAAGTTTAACATTTCAATATATTCAGTGTAATATTCCATTCATCAATGTTTCAATCTTCCTGATAATAATCAGGAAGGTGCACCCAAAAGTGTTTCCTTAGAAAACTCATACCTTTCTTAAAATTTGAATCTGGATAAATTATCTCCAAGTTATTCGTAACAATTTATTAACGATACTTGGAGAGAGTTTTAGTTTTTTCAAGTTTTGTTGGGTAATTAGCTAATGTGTAGCTACCAAAAACACTAAATTCAGCGGCTCTTGATGTTTCATCCTTTGGTGTTAGTATCTGGACTACATTCTCCACTAGAAGGTTTTGCTAACGTTACCTTAGTCGGAAATCCGAAAAGCAATAATTAGTAATAACTACATGAAAGTAAGGTTAAATTTTCCGATCCAAAAGTATTAATACACTGCTTAAACAGTATTTATTCTAATACAAAGGTTATCCAACCTCAGTTAGTAATAGCTAATTTTAGAATGGTGGCTATTCAAGGAATAATTGTGTAGTAATTCTTGAAGAGTGATTTCTAATAAAATTTTCCGAGCATCTCTAGCCTTATGATTAGTGTATATGTTCTCTTTAGTACCATTTAGTTAAAAAATTTATTGACAAAATTTTTAACCGGTTTGTGTTTTGTGCTTTATGAAAATATCTTTGCGCTGGTTTCCAAAGGTTGTTGCGCTTTGGGAATACAAAACACTGATCCACCTATTTTTTGAATTCCTCCAGTAGTTTTTAAACATTGATTAATGATACTGTTTATTGCTCAGTTATGTGAGAGGACATACGTCCAATGTTATTGTTAACAATATTTGTAGAATGTCGACGAACATCTCATGTGTATTCTCATATTTAGTGAACATATTTTTCTTAACTATTTCAATGAGGAAATCAGCATTACTGAGAGAAGTCTCACACTAGGACGAAACGGCCGTCCAATGCTCTCAGGTTTTCAATGGTGATCTAACATTGATCAGTTCATGATCTCAATTAAAACTCAACAATCCCCACAAACCTATTGTGATATATTTTGCTTCTCAGAAAAACCATGCTGAGTTTACTATCTTAGTAAAAAATAATAATAGCAAAAATAATTACAATCATAGTATCAATGTGAAGTTATGACTTCAGGTTGATTGTAAAGTCACTTTTTCAATAACACTTCATAATTTCACGTTGTAAATATTTAGGATTTCAATTAATCGATATCTTTTACCATATGTCTATTTTGAGCGGATAATGAAATCTAATCGCTAAATAGATCCATTGCTGTGCTAGATTTACACACTAAATATACTGAGAATTAAACAAAGAAGAACTTTGTGCGGGATTTCATTTGATTTGGCTCATTTTTGTTCCCCAATTATTTATTCATTCTCTTTTTTGTGTTTGTTTTTTTGTCTCTCTCTTCTTTTTGATATTTTATTTTTGTGGAATAGGCTAATGGACATGGAACTGTATTATTTTCCAAACATATTTTAAATTTTGCAAAAAATCTAAATGTGAACAATCCACTTCGTACATTTATTGATTTAACTAATACTTCAATTGGTGATGCTATAACTGATATTCTCTTGGTGGAATATACATTAGCTTGGTTAAATTGGTCATTTATTAATTGGTTTTCAATGTATGATGATTTGCCATCGAAACAATTAAAAGTTACTGTAGCTAAACGTGATCTTATACAGGTTACATGGGATGAAAGACGTGTAACAAGTCCAATTGAACTACAAGTAAATCTAACAATTTTATTGTCAAGGTCTAGTTTACTTACATTGATTAGTTCTTTTAAGTAATAGAAATGTTTCCATAGTTATCTCTCTCTCTCTCCTTATATATATGAAGTAATAGTTGAATGATTGAGTTTCTATTTTATAGATGTGTTCATGTTCATTCGATGCTTTGGGACTTTATTTCTCGCTTTATATTTATGTCAGTTGTTTATGTAAAATATTTCTCAATTATCTGTTCACCTACCTAGTTAATCATAATCTGTAAATTACTTATATACTGAATTCCCTACTCTACAATTGTGTACAAGTGTTCAAACAATGATCGTTAGCGCTTATTCAATACTGATCGTAATAATAAAATTGTAAAGCTTCTTGAAGTTCTATTAAATCCGATTGTTTGTTAGATTCTTAGTCTGGAATACTGCACAGGTGCACAAGCTGAAGCAGAGTGGAATACAGAGTTACAACTATGTTCAACCCTTCTGTAAACTTCCAGTGCTATTTATTTCTAATGAACTAAATGCTTAACAATTAAATGTGCTAATTAGAGATTTACACTGAATCATTATTGCGAAGAGTTTGGATTATCCCTTCGTTAGTATTGTCGATTAAATTTTAATCGATCTTTGTCGAGACATATACGTCCGGCGTAGATTGTCTCGATGCGTCCATTTTATTACAAGTTATACAGCATAGAAATATTGTGTATAGATCAGTGTAGTCTAGGTCGCGTGCTTCGTCTTATTTAGGACTCATTAGCTGGATATACTTGCACTCTTGTTGATGTTCACTGATATCATTACTAGGAATGGTTTAGATAGAATATTCAGAAAAACAATTTTTTAAATGAATATTTTTTTTATTAACGTCATCTTCAACTTGTGCAAATATCAATTCATAAGTTTTGTGTCACTATGACTATCTTAAATGGACAAGAATACGAATGTAAAGTCATTTTTCAGTCAAACATTTTTGATGTTTAGAAACGTGACACGTAAGATGCTAATCACGAGACTAAAACCTATAAACCTATTACCATACTACTGTTACTACTACAATGATCTATTACTACAACTCGTCTGGTCACATTAATCAAATAAATTAAGTTTCACACTTAATCTTACATACCTAGGTTAAATAATTTTATCATTTGTCCGTTAAAGTTATAAAATGTCATCCTATGGATCTGTGTAACATATGTTTGGAAATCTTTTTTTAGTAAATTTCAAGTATATATAGATACATACGTGCCAGGCAGAGTAAATGAGGAATGTACATGTGATATAAACACTCAAAGTAGTTAATGTTAAATCAGCGGTAGACTCACTTAGTTATCCTATTTATTTAAGTAAGTTCTGAGATATTTTTATAAACTGCTATCAAGCCTAGATATCTCATCATTTGAATAAGCATCGAATCTTATTTTCATAGATTACTATAGAACAGTTCACGTATATACGATGTATGCTACTTATGTTGACAGGTTACGTAGTATGTTGCATCAATCGGAAGTGGAATGCCTGCCAACTGAAGATTGAGAAAATTGAATTGGAGAGAACAGGAAGGGAAACAGAGAGCAATTGTAATAACATGATTAAAATAGCCGTGAAGCATGTAAAGGACAACTGAAATAATATGCGCGAATAATGTATTTAATGTATGATTTCCATATTTTGCATTAAACTGTGAATAGGTTTCCTCCAACTGAGTGTTCATTCACCACACACATAAAATACAGAAAACTTATTGACCTGCTTATCTACCAATGATATATCTTTCTTAGATTGACTTGTAGTGACTAATATGGAAAAGTAACTTGTGGTAATGATTTGTAGGAGTTCGAACCAGTCATCATCATCGAAATTTTCTTTGGATTAACTAAAAAGCTGTGTACAAATTACAAATTGCTATGTCAGGATAAATATTAAACAAAAGTGAATTTTTGAAACAGTCCTACATGAAGTTGCTGCTTATAATTTTGTTGTATAATTATTAATTGAACTATTATGTTTTTCTCATCCCGCTACTTTCAAGCCTTTGTTTGACATAAATCATAGTTGTGTGTTTTACCTTTCCGAAATTATTTATAGTGTATGACAGACCTATCACTCAGTCCTTTTCAACTCGTAAAGTGGTTGTTCCCATATCGTAATTTCTTAATTCGATTGGTGTGTGATCAGGATTTTACTCTGTATTAGTGTATAAGTGATTCATAAATTCAAACTGTATAATTAGATTTTATCTGCTTTTTGGGTTGTTCTCTATTCTGACAATCGGCTGATCGAGTCATTTAGTGATAATCAGTGTATAGAATGGTATATTTGTACACAATTCGACATAACATAACCGCATGAATGTACAAACATAGATAATGTAGAACTAATATAAAATATAAATTAATATTCAATTAGATTTAGTCTTTTGATAATGTATGTATATATCAGAACTGTTTAAAATGTGTCGGCATAACCTTGACGTATATTAGTTGATTTTATTCCAACAGTTAGTGAAAAATCATTCTTTCTTCAATGGAATTTATAAGCAGTAGTAATGATAGCACTGGCTAATTATCGTTTAACATTTCAAAGCTCAAACAGTCAACTAATATTATAAACTGATGTTTATTAACAATTGTAACTTCTATTTATCACTGGGGAAAAACTGTTTTTAAGCTCAAAGAAATTTAGGTTTCTGTAATGATTAGTGATTAGTAAGCTATTTATCAGAATAAATTTCTGGAATCTACTTTCTTTAATATTATACTTAAATCGTGAAACGTAACATAAACGTAAAAGGATAATTTCTCATTGAAATTTCGCTAAAACTTACATCTTCGTAATAAGAGTTTTAAGCGTCATCTAGTCTCAATAATTCTTGTATATTATGGTCTGTTCAGTCTTGATACTACTGTTAATGATAATAATTTTATCATTTACTCTTTGATTTTTAATATATATGTGTTTTACAATCCCAAGATTGCTATCGATGAAGCTGTTCAACAAGCTGATAAATTAATTAATAAAATTGGTACATCACGTGCATTTGTTCGTCCTTCAGGCACAGAAGACACTGTACGTATTTATGCTGAATCGTATACACATGAAGCAACTGATTGGTTATCCGCAACAATCGCTTTAATAACTTATAGATTAGCCGGTGGAATAGGTCCTCAGCCTACACCTCCTAAACCTCTTCATTCCATTTGTAATTGATTCATCAACTATTTCTAATCGTAATTACTGTGAATCAATGTGCTGATCGGTACTCTTTCTTTCCTCCTTTTGTTCTGTCTTGATTTATTTAATCATATTTAGTTATTTTGATGTATTTTGTTATTATTTGTGATCTTGTGAAATTATAACTTTCGTCTCTTTACTGTTTTTTTCCTATGTTCTCCTCTCCATTATATCTGATGGTAATTATTAAGTAGTTAATTTATATAATGTTATGTCATGAAATAATGTGTATTACAATGTGATATAGTATATTTACAATAAATTAATTTCATACAGAACAAATGTTATTAATAATAATGTCTTATTTTTAATTTTGTTTTAGAAAGAGAAGACTATGTGTTAGATGGTTGGAGGTAGTCGACAGGAAACTCTAGATCTAGGTCTCATACTATTTGACACTCGTCAATAGGTTATACTCATAGTTATGAAAGAAGTGCTCACAACAGATTTTGTCCCATGTCATGTAGCTCCACAGTTAGAGACGCTACCATTAAGCTGCCCAGATCACGACTGACCTGTAGGATTATAATATTTACAACTGATTGAGCAATAAGTAGTGACCAATGTAATATTTATCTAGTTCCTTATAATCCTGACCGGTTCCTGCTATTCAAGTTGCAACTTGACAAACATGATATTGGTTACCGCTCAGTTGTCAATCAATTATATGAGACTGTGTTTGTGAAAACATTGAAAAATAGGGAGCACTGGACAGCTATATCCCACTGTGAAACTCCTTAGAATTGCTCACCTGCTTTCCTGTACATGGATAAATATGTGTATATTACGACGGTTGCAATCTCCCTAATTTTCCCACTATGGATGGATTTGGAAACTAGGTTGATAATAATGGTCCTAGAGACCTGAGAGTATGATCACGGAACTCCAAGAACAACTAAGTGAGTTAGGTCTCACACAGTGTTTTGGATGCGATCGCGCTTGAATGATATATATATATATATAAAGTCTTTATAAATGATTGCATTGTTGAAGAAATGATTTTGTAAATTATAAAATTTTAATGTAGTGACTAATTGTGAGTTGCTAAAGTTTTGTATTTTAAGATTTTCAAGATTGACAATCTAGTTATTGTACTTTATGTTTATGAAGGTGAAATTAAAGGATTGCCACCGTTGAGTCAATCACTATTTACATTTGAGCAACGTGTTACCATAATATAGTAACTGATAAATTAACATTTTAAAATGAATTATGCACAAATATTGTTGAGTTATTGTATGATATTTGATTATAAAGGATACAATAGTTTGTTATATTTAAATAATTTAATCAGTTGTGATGAAAGTCTAAAAACTAGTTAGTCGATTGGGTTTATTTTTTAAGACTAATCTTTCATGCACTAGTAATATTTCCTGTAATTTTAAAAACTACGTCAGACTGACTTAATGAAGTTTTTCATTTATTTAGTAAATGTAAATTTTCATTTCGAATTATTTCCATTTCAGATAAAACATTTCAATGTACAATTTTTCTGAAATTTCTCCATTTCTACTCAAAATTCGATCGTGTTTTTTTTTACCTCAATGTGGTGGACGTTATTTCCCTCCAGGAACACTTTATCGTCCACATCATGAACGTTTTGATGAGAATTGTGAACATAAACCACTGCCTCATCCGGAAACTCCAAGGTTTCAAGGTATTGATAAACTCATATATCTGTATTATGACTCAATTTTATTTAGTCTCCGTTGTTAACTGATCTTCTACAGTACTAATGATTAATATGGAAATAACTAGGTCTTACTAGATCAGTCAACTGATGGAGGTGGAAATAGGTAGTAACAGGTAATGTTTGTGTTATGACCTTGAATCGCTTTTACCCCGTGATACTTGTTATGACTTGACCTTGGTCTGTGTAGTCTAAATTATGACCTTGACGCGTTAGGCTGAGTGGCTTAACCTTGAGTCTAATACGCGTGAGTTCGATCGGGATAGAGAGAATTATTCTGATTGGTTGGCAAGCACGCAAGTGAAAGAAGACAAGACAGTTGGAACACTAAACTCTGGATTCTCTGAATTCGGATTACTACAAAAATGTACATGAATAAATAAGTGCATATCTTGACCACGACGTACGATAATTTGGAAAAATACAGTTATGCCCGAAACAGGGAATTAGGGTAGAAAATATAGTGCAAAATATAATGTTTAAATTACAATATTTTTGGAACAAAAAAGGGTATGCTAGTGAATGATACATAGAACGAAAGCTCGTGTCATGTAGAATAAGATAGGGACAAAAATAAATATGTGTTTTTCAGGGTTTGAATGAAATGCAATAACGTCCCAAGAAAATAGCTTTCGTAATTGTCTGGGCTTCTTAATTCCCCGTTCATAACAGTTTGCTGTTCTTTTTTAACTCACGAGTTATGTAACGGTTTTTTAGAGTACTGGGGTTCAGTACGGGCCTACATTAATTGCTAATTGAAGAACGATTGAGCTTATTCTGATACGAATAGTTTATTACGGATTCGATAGATCAGGAGCTGCTGAACAACACCTCATTAATATTCCATTGTTATATATGAATATAAGAATACCAACGCGAATGCAAGGAAACTTGATATTTAGGCAGATAAATCGAAATAATACAAATCCGTCTATATAGTAGCGAAATCATGACTTTAAACTACACAGAAGATTAGCAAACTATAAGTAGTGACAATCAATCAGAAAAGGCCAAAGGTCACGTGAAAATTTCTACCAAAAAAATACTAGCGGTCGTGGTTACCAATAAGAATTTAACAGTAAAGAAAGTTGGATAACCCCGTGATCTCCTTAGACAATCATAATCAACAAAGAGCTTGGCACACGCGTGGATCGGCTCAATCTGCCACATCCTATTCTCACGTCGAGATGAAATTACCAAGTTTGGTATTAAAATGTTCGAAGTATCACTGATAACATAAACGATTAGAAATGGAGAATATGATTCGAGAAAGACCATTTCACAGAATAAAAGGTATAAAATAATTTTGAAACTCAAGATCTGGAGGAAAATGAAGAGTGAATGCATCTGCGCCATTGTGACCAATATCGAGCGACATCGCACAATATCTCCAACTACTAAATAGTACTATTTAAACTTGGATTAATTTTAATTTGGTTATTTATTTTCTGAAGACGTGACTTACACCAAGTCACGAAACGTCAGAAAATTCAATTTTTCTACTCATTGAGATATTACCCAATGCTCAATCTATTCGAAATTATCAAGTCAAACCTTGGTAATGGTACCTACAATCTCCAAGTACTGACTAGGGGAATCGCGTGGACCCCAGTCAATCTACATCTACCGACATGACTGAGACTAGCAGTCAGTGACTTGAGGCACTGTGTTGATTTCCTTAGTGACAACGATCAATAATGGTGCTAATGAAATATCGATTCTTATTTACTTCATATACATTCCATCGGTTATCATTGTTGGGAACGACGGGAAATGAAAAGTCCAACACAAAAGTATTTTGGGTGCATATATTTCTTTTACCATTGACGTCTCACGGTTGTGCAGCAGGAAAAATATTCTGCTGTTCTTATAGCCGATTGATCACTGAGTGGTGACCGATGTCATGTATATTAAATTCACATTAAAACTTGATCTCTAGAATCCAACCAGCAACAAGAAGAACTCGGCGAACACGACATTTATCAGTACTTATTAGTCAGAAAATTGTAAATACACCCCAGCCCTACAACAGATCAGTCATCACCCTAATAGCTCAGTGGTATCGTCTGTGACTATGATGCTGAGTGACAGGACATTGAATCAGCCAGAAAGTATCAGTGTCTTCGAAATTACGAGTAGATCTTACTGATAAGTGTCAAATGATACGAAACCTAAGTCCAGGGTTTCCTTTCAAACCGTCTTCAACAACCTTCCAACAATTCTGTACAATACATTACTTAAATCATTTATTTTTTCTGTGTCACAACTAGCACTAACTAGTTGAATCTTCTACATACTTAGTGGACTTCATTAGTAATTAGGTCATTACATTTCTCAAGCTGATGAATGAGTTAATTTTTTGGACTATTTTGTTCTGTTGAATTCTTGAAACACTATATATTAACTACGGCCGGCTTAAATCAACCATTCTCATTTTGTCATTAATCGTTTTTTTCTCCAAACAACTCATTCTACCGACTTTTCTTTATTTAAAACCACATATAACTGAATTTGTAACAGTTTTGTATTAGTTCAAGTAGCATCACTTCACAGATCAACTGACAGAACGAAATAAATGCGAAGATAATAGTCACAAAGAGTTAAAAAAGAAATAGTGGAAATTCATAAAGACAGCGAATATAATAGATAAAATGTACATTAATTATATTAAAAGGACAGTTGGATAGATTTGTATCATTTTTATGCGTAATACCTTGCCAGATTAATGCTAACTGTATATTTTTATAACTATCAATGTCAATTGTTTGATTAATGACATCAAAGGAGTTGATTAATTTGAGAAAGAAAATTGTACCATCAATTTAATCAGACATTTTAGCGCTTGAATGATATATATATGAATTATCACTACGCATCAAATATAACAGTTCATACGGTTACTTATATTGTTTTTTTTTACTGGGGTGGACATTTTTTTATCTTGATATGCACTTAGTTTTTATGACAGAGAATCAGATTTGCCGTAAACTTTAAATGGTATTTTAGGACAAATATCAAGCATAAGTCTTACTATTATGGCTTTTTAGCATTGTTTCGTTAAACAAGCACACTATTCTCTACGGATTATTGTTCTCATACAAATAAGAATAACATTCTATGGATTGTGTAATAGGTAACCTACCTATTTACATCTGTTATAATCTCTGTGTAGAATAATTATCCATCTAAATGACATACTATAACTCCTGTTTTTTACATGCTTAATTCATTTGTAAATATCTTTCATTTTCAAAGTTTATTTTTAAATCAACATTTATTTTCATTTATAATACTTTGATAATTCATCAAAACCATAGTCCTAACATAAGGAAAACTGAATGGATATGTAACATAGAAACATACTGATCATTACTCAACTTAAAATTTACATTTATATGCACAGAAATTCCACTAATTATTATCCATAATCAGATAGGGTTTTGTGGATATTATAGTAATTTAATAGTTGAATTCATGAGTCAATTGAAGCTAGACCACCAAGAGGTATTTCCTGGAGTTCTAGTGAGAAGCCGTGACCAGTTGAGTTCAACTAGGTCTGTTGTGAGATAGTAACTCACTGAAGACAATGGTGGACGGTGGCGCAACTTCGAAGATTGGTTGAAGTTAGACATTAACGCCGTTGGATGCCGGTTAAGCGCTCGCGCACGAG